TTGAATCTCTGGAAGTTCTCTGTCAATGTATGCTTGCAGCCATTTCTGTATTACCTTTAGTAAAACTTTACTCGCATGGGATATCAAAGAGATTGCATAGAATCCTTCAATATTGTAAGCCAAGGCTTGAATTTTTTTCAGTTCTTTCAGCTTGAGAAATGCTGAGCACGTTTTTCCCTTTTGATTTTCTAACACCAGGTCTTTGCACATTTTTTTATAATACTTGACCTTGTCTTCTTGAGCTGCCCTTTGAGAATTTCTGTTCAGCTTTTTTACTTCCACATTTCTTCCAATTGCTTTGGCTACTAACCTCAAGAGCAAGTTTCAGAGTCTCTTATGACACTCATTTTGGTCTCTTTTTTCCTGTCATTTTAGTGACCTTTGGCTTTCTTCATGTATGATGTTCTTGATGCCATTGCATAACTTTCTGGTCTCTGGTCATTAATACCTAATGTATCAAATCTGTTTCTGAGATAGTCTCTAAATTCAGGTGGGATATTCAAGATCACAAGTTGGCTCTTGTGAACTTGTTTTAATTTTTTTCAGCTTCATCTCCTGAGCTTGCATATGAGCAACTGATGGTCTGTTCCACAGTTGGTTTTTGTTCTTGTTTTGGGTGATGATACTGAGCCCTTCCCAAAGATGTTGTCACTTTGATTCCTTTGTATTCCATCTGGAGAGGTCCATGTGTATAGTAGTAACCTTTTATGTTGTTGAAAAAATGTATTTGCAATGAATAAGTCATTGGTCTTGCAAAATTCTGTTACATGGTCTCCAGCATCATTTGTATCACCAAGGCCATATTTTCCATCTACTGATCCTTCTTTGGTTCCAATGTTCACACTCCAATCACTAATAATTAGCAATACATCTTGACTGTATGTTTGATCAATTTCAGACTGAAGAAGGATAGTAGAGTTTTCCAATTTCATTATCACTGACTTTAGTGGCTGGTGCATAAATTTAAATAATAATGCTATTAATTTGTCTTCATTGTAGGCATATGGATATTATTCTACTACAGGCAGCATTGTACTTCAAGATAGATCTTGAAATGTTCTTTGTAATGATAAATGCAGCATCATTCTTCAGTTTGTCCTTCCTGGCATTGTAGATTTTATGACTGTCTGGTTCAAAGTGACCAATAATGGTCCATTTCTGCTCACTAATGTATGGGATATCTATTTTTATGCATGCAATTTAATTTTTGACAACTTCCAATTTTCCTAGATGGATACTTTGTCCATTCCATGTTGCCATCATTAATGGATGTTTGCAACTGTTTCTCCTCATTTTGAGTTGTGCTACATCAGTAAAGGCAGGTCCTGAAAGCCCAACTACATCCCTGTCATTAAAGCCAACTCTGCTTTGAAGAGTCATATTTTGAGTGTCTTCCAACCTGAGGGGTTTATCTTTTGGTTCTATATCTGACTATGTTCTACTACTGTTCATATGGTTTTCAATGGCTAACCATTCTGAAGTGGTCACCCTCTCCTTCTTCCTAGTCTATCTTAGTCTGGACATTCCACTGAAAGCTGTCCATGATGTGTGACCCAGTTAGTATTTGAAATACCAGTGGCATAGTTTCCAGAATCATACCAACACACAAGCCACCACAGTATGATATACTGACAGACGAGTTGTAGAAGAAATGGGATGCATACACATTTTTTCATTTACATAATAGTAAAATATCAGATAAAACTAAACTATAGCATTAACAGATGTATTTTTAAGTGGTGAAGACTAAAAGGAAAGCATTAAAATCATTACCATAAAAATAAAGAAAACAATGGATTCATGATGAGAAGGGAGCACAACGAATTTCTAGGGTGGTCGGTGGTGGTTGTTTGCTCTGTATTAATTTACTGATGGAGAGAAGATTGAAGTTGTCAAAGACTTCATTTTTCTTGGATCAACTATCAACACTCATGGAGCAGCATCAAGAAATCAAATGACATATTACAATAGACAAATCTGCTGCACAAGACCTTTTTAAAGTGTTGATGAGCAAAGATGTCAGCTTGAAGACTAAGGTGCACCTGACCCAAGTCATGGAATTTTCAATAACCTCATATGCATGCGAAAGCTGGACAGTGAATAAAGAAGACTGTAGAAGAATTGATGCATTTGAGTTATGGTGTTGGAGGAGAAT